TGCATGTGATTGTTGCATTTAACCCCAATAGTGAGGTCACTTACTGAGTATTTATTTAAATATAAATACTCAAGTCACGTGCTACTACATTTTTCAGGTTAAGTCAAGGCATTCCCGTACGGCTGACGACGGCATCGCAACTCGAGATCATGGCACATGCATAAGATAGTGGTATTTATTTTCTTAGACTTAGGCTAGAATAGGATGTTTTAAACTTAAATACTTATTTATTTTATTTCGGGTCTTTTGTTGTGTCGTTTTAAAGATGTTTTCGAAACATGTAAGTCCATGGCTGTGTTTTAAGTTAGAGGTTATGTTTTATGGAATTTAAATAAAGTCTTCCGCATTCAATGTTTATGGTACGTATACAGTAGCGACCTTAAATTAAATAGAAAATTTTGGGTCGTTACATATATACTTATTTATTTATTTATATATATACATATTTAAATTTTATAATATAATAAAAAATATATTAATGAAAATAATGTGAAGAACCGATTAAAAGAAAATTTTTATAAATGTAGTTGAAATAATTTTATAATTCAAATAATCTTCTTTCCATTTAAAAATATCCAAAAACTTTTATAAATGTAATTGAAATAATTTTATAATTCAAGTAATTTTATTTCACTTCAAAAGTAATTGAAAACTTCACCATTTGGTACTCTACCAATGTTATAAATGTCATACTTCGATTGGTCCATGATGTTAATTTTGCCGCCACATCATCACATCGGGTATCTTGTTTTGACTAAAGTTTCTTGGTTTTAGCTCTAATTTGAGTGAACCAAAAAATACATTGAAATCGTTATTCCAACATCACACTAGGACAAAATACTGAGAATTGTTAATAATTGAATGTATGTTTATTATCATCAAAACATCAATTAATTAATTAATTTGAGATCAAGGGCCAAAAAGCCAACACCAAATAGACCCTAACCCCTCTTGACTAGTTCACGAATAGGGGTTGCACCCTAATCGTCCCTACAAGGTACCTGGTTAACCTAACGGAGACATTGGGACCTTTTTCTCGACTCTAGCACCTTAGTAACGTAAAATAGTGGTTCATAATCTATAACTAGCATAACAGATATTCTAGGACACATACCGATCGTCTTAAGCATAATTGGCATAACGGGATTTCCAAACTCTTTGGCAAACATCTAAGGACAATCATAATATATGTCATGCTCAACATGCTCAATATAGAGAATAAAATTAACATAGAGAATAACATTAACATAGGCATGCTAGAAAGCTTATAAACATGTTAAAGACTATCAGAATTCTCAAACATGGAACCAAAAACAATGAAGTTGTAAATTGTGCTCAACGGTAAATTATACACGTTTCTATGTTAAGCTAGCATGATACTAGGTCAATTAGGTTCCTAGATATGATTTCTAATCATATGCTTCTTGTCCTGATCAACTCCTATAAGTCCTACTTAATACTTACTCCATATGATTACTTATTTGTTCCGGTGTGTTCAGGTACTCGGTTCACAACCTTTTTGTTATTTTCCTTTCAAATTTCTGGGCTAAGTTGTAAATTGTGTCTAGTTTTTGGAGAAGCAAATAATTTTGTGAGATACGATTTAAAAAAGTGGTGAACCAGTCCAAACAATGAGCAAATATCAACAAAGCCGATCACTCTTTAGGTAGTTCTTCCTCATCTTTCTTGGGTATGTTCCAAATTGACTATATTTTATGGAAAATCAAAATTGATGGTGATAATCAGTCTAAAAATAATTTTAAAAAAATGGCTAAAGGGCATAAAACAAAAATGGAGGGAAATTGCAAGATCAAAATCACCGCCACGTTAATATCTTCAACCACTAGCCATACCTTCGGTGAGAAACATAACATCTGACCCCTCTAAAACTTGACATTTTTAACACGTTTTAGAGGTGATCTTCCCTCAATTCCTTCATGAAACTTGTAGTTCTACATATTGTGGATCAAATGAAAGAGATTCAAGCTCTTTTGGTTCAAAAACCAATAAGATATAAACCTCAAAAGTAGGCTATTCGATAACAATTGTTACCCAGTTTTAAAATCCAAAGTCACTCTCAGTTTGGACGTTATAGGCGTTATCAAGCCTTGAGTTCTTAAGCAAAAATACTCCTTGGCTTTCCCTAAAAACTAAAAGTTGTAAGACCCATGGCACAACTCATCATATGTAAGCTGAATTTTTGTGTCAAATTTCAAACTCAAAAACTTATTGAAAGTCAACCAATGGAATCTTTATTTCTAGTAACTTTCGGCTTTCGTTTAATTCACCAAAGTTATTCTTCTTCTTGCCATCCACAAAGTTGTACAACCAACCAAATCTTAAGGATAATTTTCTTCATTTTCAGAAATGGCCGAAACTTAAATTGAGAAATTGAGGATCTTCCTTAAGTTATTTTTCTTCAACCTCTTCTTGAAAAACACCCTACTTGAGCTCTAGAAACATTTGGTATAGGAAAAACAAGCTAATTCTTGATGAATAAAAAACATCCAATTTCAAGAAATTCTTACCGAGGAGCTTGAATGGCATTTCATATTTTCAACTTTCTCGTGCTTTTCTTTCTTCACAAACCTTGTCCAGCTCTTCTTTTTTAGTCCAAAGAGACTAAATTCGAGTTGTGAGATGGTCTATAGAGAAAGAATTTCAAAAAAAAAAAAAAATCTAGAACGAATACCTAGAATGTTTATCTTGATTACTCTCGATTTCTTGGTTCTTTTAAAAAATTACCAAAACAAGGATGAAGTTGAGGTTTTCTCTTTAGATTGACACCAATTTTGAAGCTTAATTTCAAGTATGGAGAGTTTACATAAGGTTTGAAGTTTCTTTAGCTTGGAAAATGGAAATTTTGGTTGTTTGGATGTGGTCTCACATTTTTCTTTGATTAATTAATTAATGCAAGTAGCCAAATGGGTTACATTTTCAACGTCCTCTTAATTTGGAGAACTTCTCCACGGTTGACTTTTGGTGGGTTAATTTTCCAATTTAATTCACTTTAGGGTTAATTTTGCAAAATTTCAACTTTAGGGCTCTATTTGCAAATTGCAACTTTAAGTGAAACTCACTTAACAAATTTAAAAGCTCATGTGGGTGAAATTTCTAAATTTACCCTTTTAAGGCTATTTTACAAAAATACCCTTTAGGGCTACTTTTCCAATTTTGTACCTAACATGCGTTGACTTGAACTGATTAGTATGTAAATGGATCGTAAACGTTATGTTTGAGCTTAAAATAAAACCCTCTAAATGGATTGTACACGAACTTCTTATAACATATATACATAATGTTTCTTAAATTTGAATATAATATGTACTTGACATCTTCGTACTCTTATCATATTTACTTTATAAAGTTTATTCGTAAAGTAGATATTACAATAACTAATGAAAATAGGAAGACGTGATGATGAATTTCATTTTACGGTTATCTAAGACCAGAAAAAAGATGAAGATAGGTTGGTGAAATGTCTTCCGAGAAAGATGTTGAAGTTTGAGAATAAGGGCAAACGGAGACCAAGATTCATTGGCCCCTTTTAAATCTTAAAAAAGGATAGGGTCGGTAGCATATTGACTAGCGCTACCTCTTTCCCATGTTACGATACACAATGTGTTAAATGTTTTTCCTTATTACTTTACACAATCGGTTAGATGTTTTGATATTGGAGAAGCTCACACCCACCCTTCCCATCATGAGACTCTTCCCTTGTGGGAAGACATAAGCCATTAATAGAAGCCTATCAAGATCTTAGCCATTAAAGTCAAGATGCTGAGAAACAAGCTTGGCTAATCCTAGAACCACGATAGAACACATAACTTTAAGAAAAGTTGAATAAGAGAAGGTTTTACAAGAGCTTACAAGTAGGTTGCTTACCAGGAATACGAATGTGCAGAGCCATCTAGCTACATAAGGAGTCATAGATATGATTCTTTTGTCATATCCTATTGAATATGTACTTTTGTAACTTGTCATATTTTGTAAACTATTTTGTGTCATATTTTGTAAACTATTTTGCATTTAACTCTTTCGACTTAGTGTATGCTCGGTTGAATTTGTGTACTTAGTTTGCAAATTATTCATTCACATCACTTGTAAATTTAAAAACTTTTATTGTCTTTTTCAAACATTGAGTTTACGTAATAGTCTGTGATTCAAAGCCTCGAAAAGTGAATCGTTCCACAGTGATTGCTCAATAATTAATGCACCTCCCCAATATGCACTTTCCTTCTTGGATATTCTTCATTTCAATGCCTCAACAAATTGCTCAAGAGATGCAAACACTTGTTAAGTATAGTGCAAAAATTATATAATTTCCTCAATTTTTCAATTTAAACAACTCGTTGAACACATGCATTTGCATATATATTATTCAATTTTCCTCTACGTAAGTTTAATTCAACGCATTGAAAATACCTCCTCTTCTAAATGCTTAGAATTTGCATGGAATCATTCTTTATTCTCCCCATATTCCTAAAATCACAAAAAGATGCACTTTATTATTTACCATAAATACGGGTGAATAGTCTAAAATTTGTTGCTGTAATTTGTTTTTATCTCCATATTGACCTCATCTAGTATGAAAATAAGTCTAATGTGTCAGAAATGAAATGAAATGGGCGGTATAGCTCAATTGGTAAAGCAGAAGACTGAAAATTCTCGTGTCACCGGTTTAAATCTGGTATAAAAATAAGTCTAATGTGTCGGAAATGGTTGGGATAGCTCAGTTGGTAGAGCAGAAGATTGAAAATCCTCGTGTTGAATAATGACCATTTTGCCTCTCAAGACTCACACTCTGAGATCTCACATCGGTTGAGAAGGAGAATGAATCATCCTTTATAATAGTGTGGAAACTTTGAGGGGAAGTTCGAAAGAAAAACCTCAAAGAGTACAATATTTACTAGTGGTGAGTTTGGGCTGTTACACACACCATCCTGACCCCCTTTGAACAAACCCTAAAATATCATAAAAAAAAAGACCAAAACGTTTTTACCTCTAAGAATCAATAAACCAATGGCTTGCTTGCAGCTACCTGGTTCTATATACACATAGGAAACTATATATATGATTACATCCCAATTCCTTGTTCTTCAAAAGCAGCGCTCAAATGGCTAACTTTGAGCTCATTATTATGTCTTCTACAAAATTCCCCTCTGCAATTATGGTAAATTTTCAGAGGCAAAGCTTCAAACCCTATTGATTTGTTTGCTGCCAAAGGCATTGGAGGTTCCAATAATGATGCCCTTTTGGTGGGCACTTCATTGGTTGTTCTCTTGTATGAACCAAACCATTTGGCTTGCATATAACCATTTCTCCTCCATGGTGGGATGGCCATTTGGTTGCTTTTCATTGACTCTCTCATGCCTGAGCACATCGCTTTCACTATCTTCTTTAGCTCTTCTACTTTCCCAACATATATTTGAGGGCAAGCTTTTAGAAGCATTGCGTATTGAGTTGTCGGGCGAGCGATGTCGAATTCTCCCACGAGAAAAGCTTCCACAATGTAGCGGTTTTCATTGACTTTTACGTCTACGTATTCGTAATCTCCAGCCGGAAATCGCCCGAATTTTTCCCATTTGGATTTGCATAGACCTGTTTGTCATATACATAAAGTTAATTAATATTCGTACGAGATTCCACATCAGTTGGAGATGGGAATGAAATATTTCTTATAAGGGTGTGAAAAACTATCTCTAGTAGACGTGTTTTAAAATCATGAAAGCCAAAACAGACAATATCTACTAGCGGTGATCAAAGAGATAATTATGAGTGTACGTGGGTCGAGATGTATGAATGTTAAACTACCACTAGACCCAAAAAAAAAAAATTAATCTTCTTAATGTTAACAAAATTCAAGTGGGCAACTTTATACATTCCTCAGCTTATAAGTAGGGAAACATCTTCTATTGTTTAAAATGGACAATATCATACTAGTGTGAATGATCGTAATTCTTAATAGAGTTTCACAAAATTCAAATCAAAACAAACATAAAAAACTCACCAGCATCAATGCCACGGTCCCGGAGTTGAGTCATCAACTTACGTTTGAAATCGGGAGAAGAAGGCTCCTCCCCAATCAACCTGCAAGCCAACTCAACCTCAACCTCAATTTTCCTGCGGATTCCCTTACTTTCTCGGCCGCCAATCAACCTCTGCAGCGTTCCAACAGCCTCCGGCAACGACCATTCGCCGCCGTCCAATACGACGCCGTCCGATACGACGCCGTCTTTCTCATTCTCCACCACATCATCACAACGATCTCCACCTTCAAAATGATAATCTCTCTCCATAAACGACTTCACAAGGTCCGACAAGTCGGTGAAAGTCTCGGCAGCTGAGGAGTGCTCGCTGCCACTGCTTTCCTCAAACGCCGCCGCCATCCGCTGAAATCTCGCCGGAATCTTCATCACCCTCTTTTTCTTTTTTTGGTTAATATGTTGTGTGGGGGAAATGGAGATGGCTAATTTATATTGTGACGTGGGAAACAGTGGAAGTTCTCCAAAGGATTGGTATTTGGACATGTTTGAGTTGGCGACAAATGAATGTTGCTCGTTTCATGGCTACATTCATTAATGAAAGAAACTTTTTTTAAAAAACAATGTTTTGTGTTGTAATATCTTTTTTGTTGGAAGTGGCAATTTTGTAATATTCATGAATCTGAAGACTCATTAATTTGGTTTTGCTTCACCAAATGTTATTAGATAATATCTGGATTTGTGATAATAAAAATATCTTTAAATTTTTTACTTAGTTTGGAAGGAAACTATTAGCAGTTTGTTTCGTAATTAATTTTAAACTTCAAAAATGTTTTTGAATTTAAAAAGTTTAAATTTTTAAAGTTAAAAAATTAACACAATTTTTTTTTTTTTGAAACAGTCTGTTTTTAAAAAAATTCAAATTTTTAATAATTTTCTTTAAATTTTTTAATTTAAAAAATATTGACGATTAATATCATTTTGAAAAAATATTCATAAAATTAAAAAAGTAGCATTAAGACTCTCAAATTTTATAAAAGAAATTAAATTTTTTTAAACATTCCTATAACTCATAAATCTTATTTAAAATATGATATCAACTGTCTTACCCGTTTAAAAGTGTTTGGGAAGTTTTTAAAAAAAGTTTAAATGTTTTTTTTTAATTTTAAAAAAAATTTAGAGGTATTTTTAAAACTTAAAAAATTATTTTTTAAATACTTTTTAAAATTAAAGGGGATTTTTTTGAATCATTTTTAAAAGTTTAAAAATATTTTTAAAATAAAGTACTAATGATTCCTTCCATTAGAATATTTTTAACATTTGTTCTTAATTTAGGAATATTTTGAGACAAATTCTAAATTTTGTGTTCGTATTGGTTATTACTTTATTATTATTTTGTTCAAATTCAATTTTTAAATATATGTTTAACCATTTTTAATAAATCATTTTCGCTAAAGATGTATTATAAAAAAAACCTTTAAAATAAAAAGATAGCGTCCTCAACCAAAATGAGATATATTTTGTCATTTATTAGTTTTGGCTGTGTTTGCAATAACTATGGAGAAGGAGAAGTTTAGATATAATTGTATGATTTAATTAATAAAAAAATTCTCTAAAATTTTTAAAAGTTTCAATAATAACTAAAAAGGAAAATTTAAAAATATTTTTTTCAATAATTTTGGAGGAAAATCGGATGAAAAGCAGTAATGATTTTTTAGCAGGGTTAAAAAATATTCTTTAAACTTTAAAATTTTCATTAATACAATTTAATTTTTTAAAAAAGATTTAAAGGTAGTTTTATCGTTAATATTATGTTTTAAAAATACTCATAAAATTTTAAAAGTAGTATTAATATACTTTATTTTTATAAAATAAAAAAAAATTTAAAAATTGTTATAGTTAATATATGAACAAAAACGGTCTATTGACATGTAACAACAGCAAATTAAAAAAAAATCACGAAGTCGTCGGTGGACTTGAGAGAATTTCGGCGCTCACCAGAATTCTCATTCCAAGCCCTCAAACCACGCCTCCTTGATGCCCACGCTGCTCCAAATGACCTCCCATCCCTTCAGCTACGCTCCCAGAAGTCACCTACAAAGTAGAAAGGAAAAAACGAGAGAGAAAATGAGAGAAGAAAATCTGAAAACACTCCGGTGAGCCCAACCAGAGAAAACCGGACATCGAAACGGCCATCTCACGCGACGAAAGAGTCCACTAACATTTGCACGTACACAAGAGGTGAGTTTCCACGCTTTAACAATGTTCATTGTTTGTAGTGCCTCTAATTTTCTTAACCTAATTAGTGATGTCACCCATGCATGCATAAATCATAAAACGGAAATTCATAATAAATAGCTTTAAAAACAACTCCAATGTCTTACATAAAAGTTCAAAAATCCAAAATAAACATATATGAGAATAAGAAAACATTTGATAACTGAAAACAAAGAATTTAAATAAAACAAACATTCAACCATTTAACTTAAAAACCCAATTAAAACATAAGCGGCCTAGCAATGCCCTCTCATTAACTTTCATGGTATCCTCAGTATCACGATCATGCTTGTCCAAAGCATGTTGCTTATGGCTACATGACAGATGTCTTAGTCTTGCTTGTTTGGGTCGGTTAACAGGGACGTCAACCAACTGAGTGGGGGAGGATGTCAATGTCATGCATGTCCAAGGCGTGTTGTCAATGGCCGCATGACAAATATCCCGGTCTTGCTTGTCCAGGACGTGTTGTCCATAGTTGCATGCCCGTTCCAAACCCCTTTTAAATGCTTTCATCCTAGATAGGTCTTTACCATTCCATATTGGGTCAGTATGAGGGTGTATGACCGTTTACAAAAAATCGTGTCTACACCTGCAAAGGTTAAAATGCCCCAAAATGTACTATAGAGGAATATGACTAGTTGTCAGCTCCTTCCTACCCGATAGTTATATGTAGTAAGCCGTTGTTGTTGCCTTTTTGCTTACATTTCCATATAACACCATTTCCAATTTCTCAAATCTTACCTTCAAAACTCTCTTTTGAAATCTTTCTACCCCCATTTTCTAAGACTTTCTTATTGAACTGAGGCCAGAGACTTGAGCATACATCGCTTGGCCATATACGACGCAAGAACGAATAGGCTTAACTCACTTTGTTGCTGGGAAGTGAGTGCTGCACAATCGCAAGTCCGCTGCCATCAAAGTGCGATTGTGACAAGTGGTATCAAAGCCAAGTTCGACTCCTTTGAATGTATTACGTAGACATGCCCTCCAAGAAACAACTGGGCAAGTCCCAGGCTGATCGATTAGCTAAAATCGAAGAACAGTTGCTCTGTATGAGTGAAATTCCCGATGGGATGGGGCTTTTGGAATCTCGCATGAATGAGATGTCCGCTAAAGCCGATAGGTTCAACGAGATGGCACGCCACCTTGAAACAATGTCTATCCCTGAATTAATGACTAGGTCGAGGCCCTAGAAGATAAGGCCACAAGAGCTAGTATCTTTGAACGAGGGGATTGTTCGACGGGCTCTGTTGCTCGAACGGAGAAACTTGTCGAGGGCTTAGACAATGCTCAACTGGCAATCGTCTAGATGGTCTCAGAATTGTTTAAAGACTTTAGAAAATTCCTTAGAATGGTCAGGGCCGAAGTGGCGGATCTAGACACCAAACTAAACCTCACCCTGAGAGTGGTGGGGGACCAAACCCCAATTGGGGGTGTAGCACGATTTAACAAGATAAAGGTTCCAGAGCCCAAACCCTTCTGTGGGGTTCGAGATGCCAAGGCTCTAGAGAACGTTATCTTCGACCTTGAACAATACTTCCAAGCCACAAATACCGTGGCAGAGGAAGTGAAGATAACGTTGGCCACAATGCACCTAGCCGATGACACAAAGTTATGGTGGAGGTTCAAGTACATGGACATTCAAGATGGTCGATGTACTGTGGACACTTGGGATAACTTGAAACAAGAACTCCGATCTCAGTTTCTCCCAGGAAATGTCGAGATAATGGCCAGGAGAAAACTAAGAGAGCTGAGGCATACAAGTAGTATCCGAGACTATATTAGGCAGTTTTATGGGCTTATGTTAGATATTCGTGATATGTCTGAGACAGACGAGATATTCAATTTTATTATGGGGCTGAAGCCATGGGTGAAAACCAAACTCTACGAACAAAGAGTTCAATCCCTTTCCACAGCCTATGCTGTTGCCGAACTATTGTTTGATCTTGATAGCGATGAAACCTCAGAGATGGAGCAGAATTGAGCATCCACAAGTGGTGAAAATGAGAATTATCGACCAAACTCCCCTAGAGGTGGGGATAGTGATAGCTCCGAAGACGAGGAGGAATACGAATCCTCCCAACAGAGAGGTAGGGCTCCTTGGTGGAGACCGTACAAACAGATTAGTCAGAGTCAAAGCCACGACCCCCCTTCTTGCTTCATATGTAAGGGGACTCACCAAGTATCTGAATGCCCACAGAAGGCAGCATTATGTGTCTTCCAAGCAAAACTTCGAGCTAATTCAAAAGCTGAGTACGAAACAGTAGAAACAGAAACGTCGTTAGATAGGACTGTTAGATATCCCCGTGTTGGGGTGCTAAAGTACTTGTCCGCTCTTCAGAAGAGAGTGGAAGAGATAGTAAAGCCAGTGGAATGCGATCTTATGTATGTCGAGATTTGGGTAAATCATAAAGCAGCCAGAAACACTATCGTCAACTCTGGAGCCACCCACAACTTCATGACGGAGACCGAAACAAAATGTTTGAATATCCTTTGGCATTGGGATGTAGGAAAGATGAAGGCCGTCAATTCAGCAGCCTTACCCTTCTTAGGACTTGCGAAAAGAACTCCCATTAAACTGGGGACTTGGACGGGACGAACCGACTTTGTGATAGTCAAGATGGATGACTTCGACATCGTGTTAGAGATGGACTTCCTACTAGAACACAAAGTCATCCCCATGCCCCTAGGAAAAGGTTTAGTAATAACAGGGTCAAACTCGATGATTATCCAGACAAACACCAGCCAGCCAGGAAGGGTGAAAAAGATGTTAGCACTACAGTTGAGGCAAGATCTAAGCCGTGATGAACTTACACTCGTTACCATTACCGTATCGGAAGAGGGAAGCTCGAGTGAGCCAACCTCAACAAAAGTCTCGTGGTCAACTCAAAAACATTGCGACATGAGACAAGGAAGTCGGACAAAGAATTTATCTCCAGCTAGGAAGATAAATAGCAAGGTTGATGTCATATCAGGGGCAGAATCACCGCCACGAACGAATGTCATACGTCTGAACCCGAGCTGGGTCCATTAGGTCCTCAAATACCACTGTTAGTGATCACCCAAGGGTTAGAGAGAGACACCAAGCCAACACTACCGCTGAGGGAGGGAGACAGAGACAAACCTTAGAAACAACACATGGTCACGTAGAAGTACCATCAAGACAAA